TAAACAGTTTGGTAGTGGATTGGTAACAAACAAGTACCAATATTGCTAAACATTAATTATATACTAAGAATTTTTTATATTTAGATGTTGGCAAGTTGATGATCTAGCTGGAATAGTGGAGATAAAATTAATTAAAGAACTAAATATTTCAAATCAAAAAGATATATATTTTTATGCGGTTTTTGTTGTAATGGGGATTTTTGTATGGGTTGGATTTAAAATGTTTTCTGATAGAGAAGCAGCATATTCTAAGTATTAAGAATGTTTTTTTTATGAAATAAATAAATAATAATATTCTTACTTGCACAGCATTTGACGGAGTTCCAGTTCTGTTGCTTGGCGGTATCATTTCAGGGGAAAGTGTAGCTGGTGGATCAATTCCTTTGAGTTTACGTTCTACTAACCACATTGCAAGACTAAACTGTTCCATATCCAACTTCCCGTGTTGATTAATATCACAAAGACTCCTATAATATTCATAATTAATAAAATAATTATCAACAATGGTATATGACTTATTTCTAAAAATTACCATATATGTGCTAATATTGATTGATGAATACCAGTTTTAAGAAACCTATCTTTGATTTCTGGTCCAGAGACATAACCATCCATATCAACATCAGATTCCAAAAACATAGAATCATAACGGGCTTTTTCTTCTACAGTGACTACCCATTTAACTGGTAATGGCACTAAACCAATAGATGGAGTAATTGGTCTCTAAACATTAGATTAAAGACAATATTAAAATACAATTATTATATAAAATTTARAAAAGTTTTGATTTCAAAACAATGTTTGATGGTACAAGAATATATAATTCAAGGTAAAAGGTTTAATAAATAAAAAAAATTGTATAACAGCTTACAAATAAATATATATACCAATTGCTTTATTATGTAGTTCATAATATAATATGAGAAATTACATTTTTTACATTTTTGAATCTTTTATTATTAATTTATAATTTTATGGTATRCGAAATGATTTTTAAAAAATACCTACCTAGCTTATTTCACTATGCATAATTAAAAAAGAATCCTAAACATTTGTCAATTCACGAAAAGTTGATTATTTCCAAAATTTCAATATAGAGGTGGTTTCAGAAGTGTAACAAAAAATATGATGAGTCGTTAATGTGGAAAGGCAATTTCAGACATAAGTTAATGCAACCCTCACCTGCATCATGTGTGGAACATGTTGTATCATGTTCCATAATCATTATCCCTTTTGATATGGATTTTACAACTTTATTGTACTTTTAAAATATAATTTATATTTATAGGGGGACGAGGTAGCCGTGCGGTCTAACGCGTTGGCTGTGGCTCAGCCGGATCGGGTTGATCCTCGACCATCTGGCAGCATTTTTCTCCGGGCAAGTCACAGTSTCTGGAGAACAAGTGCCTCTATCCACCRCTCCGGGGCATGGCAGAAACCTACAGGTACCCCATTAGAAATTCTGCCAAACAGGCCTCCAGTGTAGGTTAGGTTAGTACACCCGGACAATAGTGCCACACGAGTATTTTTTTGATTTATATTATACACATATTTGCCATTTRGCGTTTATTCATATAATTTCATTAATTGGTGATTTGTTTCCATTTTTATTTCACAAATGAGTGAAATATGTTTTGAGGTAATATTGTATGTGTTTAATTACTGATTTAAAATGTAACAAATGTAACAATTATTTGGTTTGCTAAAAAAAGAATATTGATGGCACCGAATATTGCAGTGGACAATTATGAGAAACAACAAGGACCAGTAAAAAAAGATTGATGTAATATAAAATTTAATGGTGCACCTCAACTAAGAATGCCAACTTAAAGAAGAATGGTAGCTGATAATCTACAATATATCAAATTTAAAAAGTACTTTTGCAGTATAGACATAATAAGCAAAGCAACATTATAGTAAGAACATTATTATTTTAAGTAGCATGCATAAAAATAAAATCTGTACCTCATATTTATCGGTAAATCATACAATACAAATCCCATACAGGTCCCATACAAATTAATGGAATATTGCTTTTAACAATTTTAGATACTTATTAATTTACATTCAGAATATGTTTCTTTACTAATATTAATTAAATTCTTGAATTTTATAGAAATTGATTTGTACTTTTTTGTTAATACTAAACTAATTCTTCAAAGATCAAAATTATATGATATGAAATATACAAATTATTTTTATATCTATGTAAATAAAATATGCATTTATTTCTACAAGTAAATATAAACATATAATAATTAAAACAAATGATTATGAAAATTAAATGACATTTATTTGTTAGATTAATTAAAAAACTTACTTTTGGTGGTTGTTTGACTAGATTTGAAGTAGCGCCAGAAGGGAGCACTGGTAAAACAGGTACAGGTGAATTAGCCATGGTAGAACCTTTTCTTTTTGCTGGAGGTAACAACTCAGGAGGCAAAACACTAGGAATAGCATATTTTTCTAATGCTTTATAAACTAAATGCATTGCCTAAAAATAAATATCGTTTTTATTCAAATAAACTATAATAATAGTAAATATTTTAATATACATACAACAGCAAATTCATGTTGATCTAACTTTCCATCTTTATCCATATCGGCCAAGTCCCAAATTTTTCCCAAAGTGTCTACTGATAGTTTGGAATCTATAAGCAATCCTTTAACCTAAAAAGAGACAGTWATAAAAATGTATTATAGTTATATATAATATTTTATGCTATTTACTTTATCTCCAGCAACTGTTCCATTGACTGGTCTTAATGATTCAAACATTTTATCATAGTTCATTCTCTCTGAAGGCTTCATAGACCAGTCATTCATATTGGTAACAGCAGTAACTAAACCTGCAGGTAGAATTTTGCTCGCTATATGTTTTGATGCTTCGCCCTATAATATAAATAATTGAATCAAATATTATTTTCATAAAGCCAATAAATAATTTGACTTGTACCATGTTAGGTGGTATGGTTTGCTGAGTGATGTTTAACATTGATATATCTBGTCCAGCTTGTGCTAATGCAATCAGTTTAAGAGCAACAAAAAATCCTTGTTTAGTTAGGAAACCTTTGGCAGTTGGGTCTGATAAATCCCAAATCTTCAATACAGACAAAAAAAAAAGTTTTAGTATATTTTTTATTAAAATGCATTACATATTATGATCCTTGTCTTTCTTTAAAATGTAAATTAATCAAAATAAAAACAATTAACTTACTTGACTAAGTATAATTTGTGATAAACCAGACTTTTTAAGGAAATTTGCTGCATCCATTGCTCCAATATTTCCTTTATTTGTAGGATCCACCTAAAAAAGACCAATATATAATTAGAATTATCAAATATGCAGATAATATGATAGGTATTATGAAAAATAATTAAGTAAAATATAACATATACAATACAAAAAAAGAAGTATATTAATACAAAACTTGTAAATAATATTAACATTAACATAACTAGAAAGAGAAAGCTATTAAATACTCATGCTGTGAATAAATCTGTAAGTTACTATCACATGATTCTTTAACCTCTTAGACATGAAATAAAAATTAAATTAATTTTAAAACTCAATACTTTAGATTAATGTAATTCTACTGAACTGTTCTTTTATAATTATGTTAGATAATCAATTTAAGAAAAAAATGTATCCCGATATCTCATTTCAGAGCATATTTTAACATACAATGTATATGGCATTGTTGTCCCCTCAGAGGGAAAAAAGCATTGGACCTGATGGCTGAAAGTTGATTTAACTTATACCTGTGTTCTTCTAGTAAACATTTTTTTCAAAGAGCCACCCAGTAAACATTATTTAAAATATGCTCTGTCTCATCTATTATTTAAAATGTTAACAATTTAGGAAATGAGTATGAAAATAAAAAATAGATATACTAAATCTTTTGAAAAATGAATAAGATATAAATATGAAAGGCTGAATGCAACAACCAGATAATTTTCTATTTAAAACTATAAGATATTTTAAAATTAAGTTTGGAAAACCTAAATAAAAATGATAGCAATATTTGGTAATAATATAAATTGTTGCATACTTAATACAGTATCGAAGGATTTAAAAATAAGAATTATGCTTGTTTCACAATTTTAAAATTTCTAAAGGTGTAGCTCTTAGGACTCAATACTTCATATTTATAATTTATAAAAGAAATTAAATTTACTTACCATATTATAAAGTGCTTCATAAATTGGGTAGTGACTTCCAGCTACCTACAATTATTCATGAAATATATTTAACATTGAAAATTAATAAAAAATGGTTCAAAATATAACCTTGATGTTAAACAATCATAAGATATAGGATAAAAATACAAATTATTAATAAATT